CCTAATGAATTAATTTGAGGTTGTAAGAAAATGAGACGACGTTCATCCTTCATCTCGGTGCCTCCTCAGTCCAAAATCCGACTTGTCAAAGTGTAACATGACTAAAATTAGCGTCTCTTGCAGTCTTGGGCATTGGTTTAAATCTAGTAATTAATTTCCTTAATTAAGTCTGAGTTCGAGTGGGGAAGAAGAAAAGGATATTTCATGTCTGATCTGACAGCGAGCCGACTTTTAACTATCTCGTTGACCGCAATTTAATTAAAAGAAACTATAATAATATGAGATCCTCCTAAGAAACATGTGTTTAGTAGACAAACCATGAAAATAAAAACAAATGAGTTTTGTTTTATACTTGTCTAATAAAATTAAAGTACTGAAATGCATATTTAATTCACAATCATAAGTATCAACAAAAGATGAACAGCAAAACCTTTCAAAAACAAACAATCTTAAAGAAAACAATAAATCCGAGAAAAATTAAAAATCTATTTTATTATCTTTGCTTACAAATCAACGGCTTATGTCAATATTATATAAGGAAGTTTTATATAAAATGAACAATTGAGAAAGAAACAGAGAAGGAAAGAAAAACTAGTATAAAGAAAAGATATATAGCAAAAAAAACATATAGGGAGTAAATGTGATAGATACGGTGAGATTAAAAAAACAAGGAGAGGGAAGAAGAAATAGAAAAAGCAGAGAGAAAGAGAGGGAGAGAGACAGACAGACAGACATAGACGGTCAAACAAACAGACTGACAGAGATAGAGTGAAATAAAGAGAGAGATAGACCGAGAAAGAGAAAGAGAGAAAAAAGAGATAGAGGAAAAGTGAAAAGGAATAAAAAGATGGATACAGAGAGAAAATGTAAGAAAATACAACGAAATATGGCGAGAAAAAGAGAGAGTGAGAGAGAAGAAGAGAGATAGAAGCAGAGAAAGAGAGTAAAAATTACAGAGAAGAAAAGCGAAAATGAAATACAAATATTTATACGGAAAGAAAAGATTAGAAAGGATAAAAAGAGAGCGCGAGAGATACCGAACCAGAAAGAAAGAGAGGGAGAGAGAAAGAAAGAGAGAAAAGAACACAAGTACAGAAAGGAAGAAAGACATACAAATAGAGAAATAGAAAGAGAACGTGATTGCGGGAGAGAGAGTGAGAGAGAAGGGACCAGTAAAGATAAAAAGTTAGTGAAAGAGACAGAATAAAGAAGATAGAAAAAAAGAATGACAAAGGAGGGAGTAGAAAGTAGAATGTAGTACAATCATCTAAAAAATGAGAAGGATATGATAAAGGACAGAAAATATGAAAAATAATATTTACAGAAAAGGAAAGAGGAGTCATATGAAGTAAAATGAAAAATTGCACAAAAAAATTAAATTAAATCGAAAGGAAGGTATGTAGATGAGATAGCTAGATAGTAAGAGAGAAAATAATCAGTAAAACATGCTAAATATCCAAACATAATAAACGAGAGAGAGAGAGAGAGAGAGAGAGAGAGAGAGAGAGAGAGTGAGAGAGAAAGAGAGTAACGGGAGAACAATTATGTAGGTTATAAACAAATTAAAAAATATATTTCTTATTTCTGTGCGTTTAAAATAAGCAAGCACAGACAGTCATGTCATGGTTTTAAGGAAAACATTTTTTGAAAAATATAAACATTTATTTAATTGCGTAGGTATTATGTGGCTACTGAATAAGAGATAAAGGGTATGAATAAAACAACCTAACGGGAAAATATATCAAGGAAGAATGGAAAATATTTAACAAACAAACCACGATAAAATGGGTCAAATTATATCCTATCCTTTCTAATTGGAGTGTTATCTTCTGTCAAAATGTTATCCGATTCCAAAGCAAATTAAAAAAAAAATTGAGAAGGGTCTGAATGTGAAGCGCTGCCTATTTACATTCCCGCCTTTACGTTATAATACGCCAGTTATTACTTTTTTTTGGTTTATTTTCCCTTGCGAAAATTCATTATTATTCATAGCTTCGGAGCTTCTTGTAAAAAGAAGAGTGAAGGTCACATAGAAGAGTGCGTTTTTATTAAAACTCTGAATTCTTTTAATAAATATACTCGTGTTCTGTCGTTATGAAGGAATATTCGTTTCTTGTACATAATTTCAAGTCGTATATTAAATTAGACCAGAACAAAAAAAATAGCATGTAGAGAAATCTAAGTTTTCCTTAATTATTTTAACTTTTTGACTTAAAAAAACTGGTGGGCAGTTTGCGTTATTGGCCGAGTGGGTTAGCAAGCGAGACTGTTGTGTAGACCTTGGAGTAGTGGGTTCGATTCGCACAAACTCCCGTGGAATTTCTGACCCTCCCTCTCCTACAAGAAATATTTTTGTTTAAATAAATATATTCACTAATATCAATGATTGTTTACTGCCAAAATGTCAATGATGTTGTTTAACGATGTTGCCACCGTTCTTTGTTTCTGTCGCCAATATTTAATAACATTTCGTTCGAGTAGCACGTTTCCAACTGAATTTATTAATTAAATTTCTCTCTGATTGTTTTGATTTTCAAGATTCAATCGGGATTGAGAACGATTGTTTGATGTCCAAGTTTGAAAAGGGGTGGAACTTCTAACTTGACGCAACAAAATTAATTGGTCGTGAAAAGCGAAAATTAACCTAGAACAATCCACATAATTACATCGATGCAATGCCCTTGTTTCTTGTTATGCTTACATAAACCTGCACAATCTGAGTTGTTATGACATTAGCATATTGACCAAGTTCGATAAATAATGAAAACTAGTATTGACTGTCTCATTCGCATTCATTCATTGTACAATACATTTTTTTCTTTCACTTGGTTCAATCCAACGTTCATTAATATCAATAAAAACCTAATAATTATATAATTGTTCAATACACCGACACAATCGTACATAAATATACACTTTCTCTTTCTCAACTGAATGATTCATGCTTTGTTTATCACTACGCATTACTCATTCAGAAAGTCATTCACAGACTATTTTGAACATTCTCTCCCTCATAATTTCCCCTCATTCCGTCGTTCTTTTGTGTCGTTGTTAATTGACTGCTCCTTTCTAAATCGCACCGACTTACTCACTGCCAACATGTATGTTCTTTTTTCTCTTATTTTATTTTAATAGACTGCATGCCTTTTACACAAAATGGAACAGGTCCTAAGAGATTTTCTAATTTTTCCAAATTTAAAAGTGCTCCAAATAAACTGAGAGAATGGTTTGGGATATAATGTCAACGCTGCCTACTCGGTCATCCTTTCTATCCTTCTCTCTCTCTCTCTCTCTCTATATATATATATATATATATATATATATATATATACCATTGACGTTTTGGCATTAAAGAATCAGTGATTTAGTGTGTGTATTTGTTTGTTTATATTTTTACTAGAGTTTTAATAAATAAACAAGAATATTGCTTGTAGGAGAGGGAGGGTAAGAAATTCCACGGGGGTTTTTGCGAATCGAACCCACTACTCCAAGGTCTATAGAACAGAGTTATAGTGAATTCCCATTTCACCAAATAACGCTCTTATTCTCTAGATCGTTTGTTTCATTTGATCAGTTGTTCCTTAAATAATGTACTACTTGTTTTTAAAGCAATGAACCGATTGATTTACTCATGCACGAACTTCCTTATTCACTGTGTAGTTTTCCTACTACTTTCGCATTCCCGTGACTCTTTTGTTCATTCACATCCTAGCTCATTCTGATATTTTTTCGATCAATCAAACTTTTTCTTTGCTATCATATACGGCGACGGTATGAGATCTCCCTTAGGTATGATGGGGAGGTGAATAGGTTAAAAAATGTCACTCAGTACGTCCCATTCTATATACGGCGCCGGTATTGGGATCAACCTTAGGTAGGGTGGGGAGGTGAATAGGTTAAATAATGTCACTCAGAACGTTCCATTCTATATACGGCCCCGTTATGGAATCTCCCTTTGGTAGGGTGGGTGGTAAATAAGTTAAAAACGTCACTCATACGTTCCATTCTATATACGGCGACGTTATGGGATCTCCCTTTGTTGTGGTGGGGAGGTGAATAAGTTAAAAAATGTCATTCTGTACGTCCCATTCTATATACGACGGCGGTATAGGGTTCCCTTGGGTTGGGTGGGGTGGTGAATAGATTAAAAAATGTCACTCAGTACGTCCCATTCTATATACGACTCCGGTATGGGATCTCCCTTAGGTAGGATGGGGGGAGAATAGGTTAAAAACGTCACTCAGTACGTTCCATTCTATATACGACGCCGGTATAGGGTTCCCTTGGGTAGGGTGGGGTGGTGAATAGATTAAAAAATGTCACTCAGTACGACCCATTCTATATACGACTCCGGTATGGGATCTCCCTTAGGTAGGATGGGGGGAGAATAGGTTAAAAAATGACACTCGGTACGTCCCATTCTATATACGGCGCTGGTATGGGATCTCCTTTAGGTAGGGGCGATAAGTTAAAAACGGCACTCATACGTCCCAGTCTATATACGGCTCCGGTATTGGATCTTCTTTATCTACGAAAGGGAGGTGAATAGGTTAAGAAATGTCACTCATACGTCTCAGTCTATATACGGCTCCGGTATGGGATCTCCCTTTGGCAGGGTGGGGAGGTGGATAGGTTCAAAAATGTCACTCAGTACATCCCATTCTATATACGGCGCTGGTATGGGATCTCCTTTAGGTAGGGGGGGGATAGGTTAAAAACGGCACTCATACGTCCCAGTCTACATACGACGCCGGTATTGGATCTTCTTTATCTACGAAAGGTAGGTGAATAGGTTAAGAAATGTCACTCGTTACTTCTCATACCATATTCGGCGCCGGTATGGGATCTTCTTTGTGTACGATAGGGAGGTGAATAGGTTAAAAAATGTCACTCATTTTCTTTCAATCAGCTTACCTCTAACTTAGCCATTTCATCACTTATTAATTTTGTTAATTTTATTGAAAATATTAAAATATTGAAAATTTGTTTGTATGTTTAAGGCGGACACTTGGCTCACAGACAAGTACCCAATCCTGTCTCACGAGAACGGACGGTATTCGAGGGCGTTGGGCCTGAGGTTTCTAGCCGAGAAAAAACACTTTATAGGGCCCGGATCTTCGATAAGTCTGAAATGTTCGTCCTCCGTCGCAGATATGCCCGCGTTGTCGGCCACTGTCGAGCCGAAGCTGGCTTCAGCCAGCGCCAACCAAAAGCTCGCCCAGGAAAGGCTGCACAATCTAGGTAAAGATAAATTATCATTATTGCCTCTTAACGTGATTGATTTACCCAAAATTATTAAATATTAGAAATGTGATTACAAAATGAACGTGACTTGTGAAATTTATTTATTCGACTGATTTTACAATTGGGACGTTTATATAAATGGGGACATTAATTACCTTCCAGCTCTGTAAAGCCCTAAATTTGCGCTATTCCCATTTTTCTCTTTATCTTCATTGGAGGCTATTCTTCATCCTATCAAGCGCACACTCGCCCAATTTGATATCGACCAATATCGTGGACCATTTTCTCTCACCCACAACTGAAATGTCTAGAAGTTTACTTGTAAACAGTCCTTTTATAAAATTCCAATATCCAACTACCACGATAAGAATCCCTAGAGCTTTTCCAACCGTTCGATCAGAAAGTTTTATAAAAGGGTTGAAAATTATTCAATGTGAATTCCAAAAGCAGAAAAGCGTCGCTTTTTAAAGCGAATTCTTTGCCTCAGAGTGTGTTTATTCGGCGACGGCGGCCACATTATAAAAACGAACACATTTGAACAGACTGATGAAATTCAAAATAAGGGAACTCGTAGGATGTGAGCGATTTCCAGTTTTTATAGTTTTGTTTTATGCCAACCACTAAGTCTGTATGCGTAAGATAAATAAATCCTACGTTTACGCCTGTATATTGTACGTCACCCCTTGGTTTTATTTCATCAAGAAAAGGATTACGCATTTTGCCCGGGGTTATTAAATCGTCGGGATTTTGTGCGGCAAGTTTAATCTAAGCTTTTCCTAATTAGACATCGTGCCTTCTCCCCGGGCGGAAAATGTTCGCCCCGGTCGGGAGTTATTACCTTTATTTTCTTCCAAAGAAAGTTAGCTCAATCGGAAATATCCGAATCCGTAATTATTTCGGGAAAAGGGGGAAATGGAGCGTCGGGAAATTAACGTCGGAGGGAAACAAGATTTTATGAACTTATACCGTAATCTTAATACACCAAATTGCTCTTAATTACTTCTGGTAATACCTATTTTAAGATAAATTTACCCATATATAAAGATAAATATATTCACTGGCGTTCAAAAGTTTACCATCACCTGCATACTTAAATCAAAATCACTTAAAACATCGATTACGTCCAATTTGAAATACATAGTTGTATAAAATACCCCGTAGAAACTTCCATTTAAGGATATTTCTGTTAATCAGATGAAAGAAAAACTACGAGAAAAATAAAGATTGTAATTAAGAAGAATGAATAAATAAGAATTGGTAGACGTATAAATAAAAACAGGTATATTATGAACAATAAAAAAAACGACACAATTAAAAATATGAAATAATTACAGACAAAATTTCTAAAAATTAATAACTTTTTTAGGATTTTATGTTTGTAAATATGAGCCAAATTGTCTGTTGCTCCTTAATGCCTAAAAATTTCGCTGAATGTTAATCAAAGAATCATATAAAAATTTACTTTTATTTACAGATAATACGGGTATTCACGATGTTTGTAAGATATTAACTCGTGTTAACTCGAATAGAAAAATTTCCAGTAAGATCGTGAACGCCCTCTTTTTTCCTTAACATATTAAACGTTAATATTTCCGCAATGTTGCGTGTGGCGATTGGTAGAACCAAAAATAAAGGTATAACAGTCCTTGAAGGCTTGTTGTTGTTTGTTTAGGTTTTATTTTGTTTTAAATTGTAAGATGCCAGAAGTTAATACAAAAGGAAAATTAATCAACTCTCATTCAAAATGCTATCTATTCTCTCGAAAAGTACTAACTTATATCCTAACCTCTAACAGCCTACAACTTTATAGGATAGGGGATGTATCTATTGCGAATGAGAGTATAAGGACAAGTCAGAAATTAACAAAAAAATGTATTGGACTGATTTAATTAATGCTTATTTAAGAATAGAAAAACATGTAAAGAAAAAACAGCTGTTAAAATCCATGTTGGTTACCTACGCCCTAACGGATAGCAATGTGACTACATTTTCGACCTAACATCTCACATTGGCCTTGGCCTGTTAGATCGAGCAATGTTAACTAGCCGATTCTTACTAGTCTACGTCATCATTTTTCTCGACCAAACAGGGCCTAACAGAGTTAACAGGGTTAACATAAAGATCATGAATACCCCTAATATGTGTTGGTTAGTGTCCTGTTGTTTCATAATTTGTTGAAGTCGATAGGTGCAGTTCGTTTTTTTTTTTTTTTTTTTTTTTTTTTTTTTTTTTTTTTTTTTTTTTTTTTTTTTTTTTTTTTTTTTTTTTTTTTTTTTTTTTGCCGATGTTATGACTTTATTCTTACCATCTCCAGGTCATAAAGTGTATTATTCTTGCTGTGTCATATTAGTTTTGGCCTGTTAGATCTAGCAATGTCAACTATCCGATTCTTGAAGGTCAAAACGGACCTAGTATAACTTACTTATTCAGAAGATCAACAATTTATACAGAAAATACGCTGCGATTCATAACTATTTCTATATGTAATAGTATAACACAACACGCAAATAACATTACCTAAGTACATAATAGGGGTATACACGATGTTTGTCAGATATTAACTCGTGTTAACTCGAATAGAAATATTTCCAGAAAGATCGTGAACGCCCTCTTTTTTCCTTAACATATTAAACGTTAATATTTCCGCAATGTTGCTCGTGGCGATTGGTAGAACCAAAAATAAAGGTATAACAGTCCTTGAAGGCTTGTTGTTGTTTGTTTTGGTTTCCATTTGTGTTAAATCTTAAGATGCCAGAAGTCAATAAAAAAGGAAAATTAATCACCTCTTTCATACAAAATGCTATATATGCACTCGAAAAATACTAATAAATGATAAGCTTCAATTCGTGCCGACATACCTAACTTGCATCTGAACGTCTAACAGCCTACAACTTTATAGGAAAGGGGATGTATCTATGACGAATGAGAGTGTAAGGACAGGTCAGAAATTAAAAAAATAAATGTATTGGCCTGATTTAATTATTGCGTATTTAAGAAAAAAATTACTTCTAAACAAAAAAACAGGTGTTAAATTCATGGCGGCCATGTTGGTTACCGCCTTAACGGATAGCAATGTGACTACATTTTCGACTTAACATCTAACATTGGCCCTGGCCTGTTAGATCGAGCAATGTTAACTAGCTGATTCTTACTAGTCTACGTCATTATTTTTCTCGATCAAACAGGGCCTAACAGAGTTAACAGGGTTAACACAAAGATCGTGAATACCCCTAATATGTGTTGCTTAGTGTCCTGTTGTTTCATAATTTGTTGAAGTCGTTAGGTGCAGTCAAAAATGAGCTAGTTTATAAACCCCCCTTTTTCTTTTTTTTTCTTTTTTTTTGCCGATGTTACGACTTTATTCGTACCATCGCCAGGGCATAAAGTGTATTATTCTTGTGGTGTCATATTAGTTTTGCGTGAGTGTTGAGGACATGGAGAGAGTGTGTGATAGAGATAAAGAAAAAGAGTGAATGCTTCTTGTAGAGTCGGGGGATGTAAGTTCTCTTACAGACAAACAACGAACGGATTCAATGCAGTTTTTTTACATGAAAAATATGTATCTATACAAAATTATACAATGATAAGTAGAGTGTAAGGAGGAAATAGGAAAGAGGATGGGATGAAAGGATGACGAATGAAAAACCGAGAAGAAAATAAAAATAATCGTTCAGGTATAAAGATTCATAGAGACCTTCACAAGTTGACAAGAAAATAATAAAATTTGATCGAAAATGGAAAAATTGAAATAGATAACAATGTAGTATGCTAAAAGTGTGTTCACTTATAAAACGTTATAAAGTGATAATTAGAGTAAAAGAAAAATACCTGGTAAACCAAAAGGCATTCTGATGAGAAAGAGAGGAAAAGAAAAATAGAGTGAGAGGAAAAGAAAGATATGGAGTGATAGAACGAAAAAGAGTAAGTGAGAGAAGGAGAGAAAGAGAGAGAGAGAATGAGAGAGAGAAACAGGGAGAGAATTATAAAGTAGAAGAAGGAAGAAAGTTCTTATCATTCTTTTACTTTTAACAAAGATGTAACTCTTTGTTTTATTCTTAGAAAGACTAAAATTAAGTAAACAAAAATCTTACATACATAATCAGGGCAGACATGTGCACACGCACTCACAAACACTTTCTCAACAAATATAATACATCAAACAATCCAATATAATATAGCGTGAATGTCATTGAAAAAGTGACGTTAAAATCAGCAGAGGAGGAAAACTATTGTTGAATTATTGAAAAAATAGGCTTCGAGGGCATAAATCCTCTGGATTTTTTCGGTTTATCCAACTCCACGTCCCACCATTTGGCGACAAGCTGAATAGAGACTTTACGAGGGTGCGATTCGCCATTGGCGGCAAGTGAAGCAAAATAGTATGATTGCTTTCGTGTCGGTATTCGTGGGACATAGGGACGGCCCGGGTTGAAGAAGAATCCCCTTAGCATTCGGGGATACATCTTTTAAGGGCCCTTTCGCAGGAAGGCAAGGCGGACCCACGCTGTTTCCCTTCCCGAATCCTCTCCTTCCTGTGGGAGGAAGTCCATTTGGAACCTGGGCCTTATCTAAAGGAATCCTCCTGTTTAATGCATGCGTCAAGCCCGGGACCGCTCTTTGAATCTAACCCCCTGAAATAAAATTCAATACCGACCCTCGCCTTTAAATTGTCGGCTTTTTTTTACCCTCTCGGCAAGAATTGATTTCGTTCCCCACAGTCTCCATTTTGCATTGGATTTATATTATCCCGCTTTCCAATTCTTTCAACACTACTTTTGACAAATGGCTGAAGTTCAATATTCAGCATTTGATGCGGTGAAAAATATAACAATTTGCAAAGAAATTAAATGTTATTTTACAAAGCTATCTTAGACAGTATTATTCCTCATTCCGAACCCTTTTTGATATATATTATATATATATTTATATGTGTAGTTTTCTAGGCGTTAAAGTTTGTTTGCTTTGCGATAACACAGAAAAGAGTATTTTTTCTTTTT